TGCTCTAATACTAACATACTTTTTCTCTCTTTTTCTACATATACTCATTATCTCTCTCTCTCTCTCTCTTTTGACATGATGTCGTTTTATTCAAACGTATTTTTCTTTGTTGTCTTTTTACGTATATAATTTTTTTATTTTACGACAATATTTTATAAAATTAACGTTAATAATTTATAAAAATACAGTATGCCCTCGTTTGGTCCAGCAGAGATCCAAGGCTTGTTACCACCGCCATCTTATTCGAGATTGCCTTAAGCGTGAAATCATCACTATTGAAGATAAACGTTCTCGTGTTGATGAATCCACGGAGCATAACTTCCCAAAAAATAATACGTTCTCTTCCATTCCGAAGGATTGTGCTTAAGCAACAGTTATTTCAATACCACCTTCAGCCGACGAAGCTTTCTGTACTGTTGTTCCTCCGCCACCTGTCGAGCTTAGCTCCGCTACTCGTTCTGCATCTTTTGAGAAAATTGCACATTAGTCTTCACCAGCATCTCTTTTGACTCGTAATACTAATGTTATGTACGATAACAATTAATATGATGACGAAAATGAGGATTACGTTCCCTGTAATGTTGTCTCACAGCATGAAGGTTCCGATGATGAGTGCGACCACATGCTCACCGATGCTGAGGAAGTAGATGATCTATTGACAGAGACTGCTGCTTTTGATGTTCCTCCGTCAAAAGGTAATTGGCATTGGCACGTTCCTTGTTTGTTAGAAGGTACTTCTCAGTCTTGTTCTAAGAAAGCGTCTGCCTCTCCTTCCTTACAACGACTACGAGAGCCGCTTTACCTGTTTCCATAGCCATATTTAATTCGTTCTTTATCAAATGATTTAATTGCTCCTCAAGAAACACGTGCCAATTCCTTTCTATTCAAACCAGTCTTGAGGCTTCCCTACAAACTACTTCTGCTACTTGGAATAAACGCTGCAGATTGCTCTCCTTTAATCCACAGAGCCTCATCGAACTCGATTAGTTCTCTCCTTACGGTCGTCGTCTGGTGGCCCATGTTAAGGATTTGTCAGGTGTGCATGTACCTCTATGCCCTCATATCCTTTATGCGCTTGCTGATGCTTCAGATCGGCCTATGGTTTTCGACTCACCCCGCTCATTACTTAACTGAAGCTCTCCACTCTCATCGCAGCATCCTGGTAGGAGATCCCAATCTTAACATCCACCTTCCCATTGGTCATCACTAGTTGATATGATTCTTACTTTGGCGAATCCGACCTTTAGGTCCTGTCTACCTTTAGCACAATTTCCACTATCGATCACATTTTGCTTTTTGCCTGGCCTACAGTATTACACCTTCAGTTTATTCGGGTCACTGAACATTCTGCGCTTTCTGTACACTTTGCTTTAGGAGAAACCCTGATCGGTCCAAGAATCTGGAATTATAGCCCGTTTCTCCTTTCTGATCGTAAGTTTTATGACAAACTAATCTCCTTCATTTCTGCGACTCAACGTCACTTGACTGATACGGGCGTCTCACAGCAATGGGATCACTTTAAGTCGAAATCGAAAAGAATTATACAAACGCACTCCATTAAGCAGAGATCTCTTCACGCCAGAGCCATACGATCGCTACTATCGAAGCTTTATCGGACCAACTTTTTATCAAAGACACTGCCACTGTTTTAACACTTTCTTTGCTTCATCATATGGAGAGAGCAATTTGAACACTCGACCGCCTACTTTTATAGGTGTCTCAAAGGCCGCCACCACAGATAAGCAATCACACATCTTCGTCGGCAGGACAACACTCTCTCGCTTCGACGCCCGATAATTTCACCGCTTGCGCTCATGGCTATTATAGGATGCCATATCGCCAGGCGGCATGATAGGACAAGCCCTCACTGTGCTATTTACCTTGGCTATACACTAACCAGCTCTTGGTCATAGACCACCGCTTTCTTGAGTAACCTTCTCTTAGCAGTTCATCAGCATGCTGGAATATTCTCAGCGTCTGTTGCTTATAATTGGTAAGGAAATAGTCGATAACTTGCTGTTACTCAGCATGACTTTGCACTGTCTACGCACAATTACGGTACCTTTTTCTTTTTTACAAGCGCTACAATCCATTGTCATCCGCTTTCTGTCTCACCGCTATTTTCTTTTTGTCAGCCATGAGGTTTGTCTACGGCCACGAAAAGAAGGTGAACCGATTGTTCTCAGTCCAGGTACGCAATTCTGTGCTTTGCAACTTCGTTGGCTGGACCTGTTTTGGTGCTTCAAATATTATCTACTAATGGTGACTCCTTTAATATACCAGTACTGCGCTATTGTCTCTGTTCCTTCTCTAACATGGCTGATCTTATTATACTTGTGGTATTTGAAGACCTCCGATTGCCTGGCGTAAAAGTCTTAGGTTTTTGCCAGTTATTATTCCGTACGATAGACATGCTGGAATATTTTATCAGTTGGGATGAACTGACTCTTTCAGTGATCTTGGGCCACCTATTTTAAAAGCTATTTCTGACTTATTTACTACGACTTACGAAGACCAGTGCCCCAATTGGTACCAATTACGCATAAATATGCTTTTGCTTTCTCTTCTGCCTCAGGTTCTTTATTACAACAGCGAAGCTTCTTGGGCATCAAGCACAAAAACCGCTTGAAACAACTCTATTCTCTTGTGGGTGAGCCCCGTGCTCGTCTCCAGGTCTGTTTCGGCATCTTATCCCGACCGCAAGTACCTATAGCTGATAGTCAATTTCACCAAGTTTTTTAACGACTTTCGACACCCAATTATAAAATCCTGATAGCCTTAGGACTGCCTGGCGCGTCTCTGTTTGAAGGCTTTACACCCAAGGTATCTTGTCATGCTTTCCTGCCAATCCTTGCTCTTTTACCTTATAGTCATCTAGGGAGCCCTTTTCGGCATGGCACAATTTCTAGTTGACACATCTTCCACATAAGGCATATGCAATTCTGTGGCGCTTTTACAACTATAAGCTGCCCATCTGCCTACGTCTTTACCTGGTTCTCCCGATCGTTATTTAGATCTTCTTTGTCAACTTTGTAGAAGTATGAAAGATAATGATCATCTTCTGCGGGTTTGTCCTCTCAGGCGGGCAACATGGGCCACAGCTGCTAATCACTTTTCTTTTGTTGCCTTCAACTCACTCTATACAGTCACTCTGGCGGTGACCCACTCCTTCCTTGCAGAAATACCCTGATCCTGCATGCTGAAACCAAAATATCATTACATGTATCATATTAGTTATCTGGTGCTATCATTACACTGTACCTTTGATTACCACGCTCTCTGGCCCGACGAAGCTGCCGTGCGAGTGACACAACACATAAAAAGGATTCATGCAGAGAATGCCAGTCTTCAGAAACTTCGGTCGTCTTCTGAGACATAGACAATATTTTCCACTAGCTTGCATTTCGCTTGATGTCTCTCTTTGTTTCAAGGCTCGTAGTTTAAGCATATTACTTATTTTATGTATATTATTACAAGTATACGCCCTCTAAAGGTACTTGTATAAGCTATTCCTTTTATATAAAAAGAAAGGGCTTCTTTTGTTGTTGCGATTCATTATACACGTATGTGATCTTCGTTGTTGTGCTACATAAAAGCAGCATAATTACATGAAATAATAATGACGCTCCCCTAGAAAAAGTAGGGAAAGTTTTTATTTAAAAACCATATAATTTGAAGTTAGGTTGAGTGAAAGTTTTCACATGTATAAGGTCCATCACTGCAGTTAAATTCGATACTTCCTACACCTTGTTTCCATTTCATTCCACCTCCATTACATGAGAATTTCCAATAACTGTTGTCAGTCCAAACACCGGAACAACCATGGAAGTTAAAGACACAATCACTCAATGCATTCATAGCTGTAACAGTTGGAATGGTCCACCCATCTTTACCTCCATGAATAGACATCACACCGTTGTCTAATCCATTTGAAGAATCATAAACGTTCCAACTAACCTCAGCATTACTTCTACAGTGTGAGTTTGCTGATACACCCAAGATGCTTACAAGTGACAGAAGGGCAATAAAGTACATTTTTTCAGACCAGATAGTAGTAAGAAGTTGATTCGAGTATAAAATCACATTTTCCTTTCTGTTTAAATAGTCGTGTCAAGGTAGGCAAGGGTTTATTTTAAGAAAAAAAATGTGCAAAGATAGGCAAGAGTTTACTTTATGTGAGAAAATAAATAAATGCATTAGGGCTGACAAGGATTTATCTTGTAAGCACTTGATTCACTCGAAAATGTACACAAAAATAGACGCAAAAATTGACTCAAAAGCACAATGTTACAAGGCGTTATCTGCGATGTTACTTTACAATTTCACACGATTCTTCTGCACTACCGAATTCGTTACATGAGGCTATTCAGAATGAGTCCAGTAGAGTATTCTTTGATGTAAAATACAAGATTATAAAGTTTTATCATAATTACACGTAAGCTAAATGATCTTGATTGCTGTATTTACCCTTTCTTTTGTTGATCGAAATTGTACAACGTAAAGTTAAAACACAATGAAGAAATCTGTTTTGCTGAATGGTACCGTGAAAACCACCTTGGCCCAACAATAAGGCAACAATAAGCCAATAATAAGCCAACTACAAACAAAAGTCCGAGGCTACTGGAGCGGATATCCGGTGGTTTGAACCAACAAATCATTTGGCTCATGATGGGGAGTACATAGTACTACCATCTGCCCAATATGTTACTAAATATTATTCATTGCTTATCCCCACAAGTATAAGCTGGGTCTCAAGCCCTATTGTAGAGGAAATTTTACTACAGTCAAGTAATAAAAACAAAGCAAGTTTCCTTAAACCCTTATTCTATATCAAAGAATATGTATAAGCATTTCGGCCCCTGAGCAAGTTTGACGTGACGCTGCACATGGAAAATCTTTGTTGGATAGTATCACAGATAATGTGTAGAGGTAGTGCTTGTAGCATTGTCCTTTTAAGTCTACTTTTGAGTCTATTTTTTAATGCGCTTTCAAGTGCACCAAGTGTTTACCAAGAAATAAATGTGCAAGGATAGACAAGAATTTTTTTCGTGTAGGAAGTAAATAGTATTGCTGTCAAAGAGACGACAGAGGGTGTAGTTATAGGCTTTCTAGCCACGCTGTATTCTTAAATATGCAATTTATTGTAATTTATACTCTTTACATCTCTCTATACGCGCGTCTTGTATGAGAAAGCCTTGATTCAAAAAAAACCTCTCTCTTCTCAAGATCATCATCATGTTGCAGAAAATTCCATATCATTTATGCAGCACACACCATTTAAGGAAGGAGTAAGTGAGATCATTCTCAGAAACGTTGATCACGCCGACTTGATCTTAAGTCATTTTAACTCTCAATAGACGTAGTTTAGGAAAAGCTTGATTTCACGACTTGTACATATTTACAAACTTGTTATTGGTTATTTTTAACGCAGTGTAAAGCGTCATTAAGTGACCTTGATTGATTGCTATTATTATTATTTATTTGCTCAAATATGGCAATGTTTAAATAATGTAACAGGGTTAAGACATAAAGCAGCATAATAAAGGTTACGTTACTCAAATTCTAACTTTATTTATCAGAAATTTACTTTTTAGAAATTCAAATATCCAAACTCTATTTGCCTTATGAAAAGTGTAAAAGTACAATATCTTTTAAATCTTTAACAAGATCATTCAATAAATAACGACCTTTTGTTTTATTTTCCTTTGAATAATCCAATCAAGCGGATACAAGAACTTTTTTATCTTCTTTACTATTCTTTGTACTTTGCACAGCTCAGTCAGATCAACTTTACAAGATCTGGTGGTCACACATCGAACACTTTTACAACTTTATCTTTCTAAACGTTTTTACTACGAACCCCAAGTCTTGTAAGGACTATGAACAAACAAACTTCTATTTTCATTGCCTTCACAATATAAATAAAACTTCTTTTTCCTCTTCTTTTCTTTCTAATATAAAAATGAAAAATTTGTTAGTCTTTTTAGTAATAGCATTCAACGTAATATGTGTTTATGCAAATTCACGCTGCCACAGCAATGCAATTCTGCAGTGGTAGGTTGACAGTTTAGCAGGTAGCCTTGATATTGGCACAGCAGGCATTGTGAGCGGCAAGGATTCACAAACAATACCTACTATTACTGCTATGAGAGCTTTGAGTGATTGCGCTTTTAACAATCATGGCTGTACTGGTTCGTGGAAAGGCACCTCTTGGAGAATTCAATGTAAATCTGGCGGAATGAAATGGAGAAAAGGCCAAGGAAACGTGGAGTTTAACTGTAGCGATAATACCTACACATGCTGTAGCTTTGGGCCTTTGTATTGCTTAATAACAGTAAAGATGACATATAATATAAAGAAGAACTTCTCTCTTCTCCCTCCTCTTTTTTTTTTAAAAAAAAAATTATACAGCTTTATTTAATAAAAAGCATTCTATATTGTAACAGAATTGATTTCCACATTATACGTAGCGGATGTCAGCAGTTCGAGTGTGACTGATTGGAGAGTGGCATCTGCCAGTTGTATTACCAAAGTACTGAAAAAGCGAGCCCAACTTTACTCAGCACCTCTAGTGGGAGGGAGCCACCCTTGATTGAGAAGAGTATGATGAGAGCTGCCCGAATTTCTTCAACTGAGGTCAGAGTCTTAGGAAAGGCTCAAAACTGCATGGTATCTGTCGCATTTGGTCATGTCTAATATTAAACTTGGCTGGTGGGATTCGATTAAAGTAAATATCCCACGAAAAACACTAGCAGTTGTCAACAATCATCTTTGTTGTATTTACTCTATAAATGCTTGATCTTATCGTATGGGATTACTATAAATCTATACTCTAAGAATGAACAACACAGAAGGCTTGACCACAAAATACGTTATTATCTTATAACGCTATGAGCACACCAGAGCAGAAGGTTTCATTTGTATAAAATACCACTGTCTTTCATGCCATTTTTTATACAGAATGATTCATATAGTGGCGGCAAACTTAGTCAAATTAACTTTCTGTACTTCTTTTCAGTTTTTTAGGCATCAACGTTGCCTGTCGACCTGTCTAAGTAACAACATAATTGGTTTAAAGGCATTAGTGACTCCAGTCAAAATGACAGGTGCAGAGTATTGCCAGCTGTCTCAAAGTATACAGATACAGATCCATTATATACATCTGTAACTAATTAAAGACTATCCAAAGAATCGAACCGACAATTAGGTGGAGGAGCAGGGCTATGATTACTAAGGATTCTTCCAAAATTCGTGTAATGTTTTATTTTATTTACAAATCTCAAGCTGTTTTAAGACTCACTATAAAAGAAAGCATTTTATATGTATATTGTATAAGCCATGCTTGTGCATAAGTTCGAATCAACCCATCATGAAAGTGAGGTAAGTTTTTCTCGTGGATTTCCTTGTACGCTTAGTGCTTACCAAAAAAACATAAACACACATACATACACACTTCTATAGTAGAGAAAAGAAGCATTTTTTATATTATTTTAAAATTAACGGTTAATTGAGCAGCAGCCTCTTATATCACCTTGTTCTTTTCTATGCTTTTCATACAACATGTTTATCATAGTTTTATCATGTTCATCCATATCTTGATATAACGTCATGGACAGTATTTTCAACCTTCCTTCATCAACTTTGTAGTTTATTGAGAAATGGTCATCTGGCAATTGAAAATAATATCTTTTCTTAACACCATTTTTGGTCAATTCATCATAGACTTCTTTATAATTTACTATCCACTTTTTCTCCATTTTTTCTGTTCCCATAAAGACTCTATCGTCTCTATTAAATTTTAACCTACTTCTGATACCCAATAAACAATAAACAATCATGTATGCACACACTTCTATAGTAGTAAAAAGAAAACAAAGTAAAAAAAAGGGGGGGCTGAACGTGGTGTCACAAATATATTGACACAAGTAGAATTCACATGGCTAACTTTACATCCAATTGCTCTAAGTTTTTCAAAATCCTCCTTCTAACGTAAATCTACTACCGTCATCATGTAGCTATTAAGAGCATATTCTCTATATATTTCTACTTTCAAATATTCTGTATCTAACGAAACATGAATTAAAACTAAATACACGACCCCTCTATAGTAGAAAAAAAAGAGAGACTGACCACAAAACGCTAATGTATAACGCGACATATTCAATTCTTATCAGCCATAATTAAATCAAGTTCAATGAACACTTGTATATTTTATAATCTCCAATTGAAGCGTCAAAAACCACGCTTTGGGTATAAAAAAGCTAGAAAAACTCATTAAACTATTCAGGTTTTATGTTTCGCCTCTCAATGTAAACGCGCCCATTAGCATTGCGACTACCGTACTCTCAACTATTGCCTTATTTGCATTTACAATTTCGCAACTGCTCTTTTTATGTCGTTCTTTCCTCTTTACTATAATGGTGTGATGAATGTTTAATAAAAGTTTGATGTCAACAGAAGTTAAAACCGATTAGGGTGAATGGCCTTTTAATTTAGAATATTCGAAATTTATGTTGAATGGTCATGTAGAATTGTTGTGTGAATTTCGAAAATCACAAATAAATTCAGAGTTGCATTATCAGATTGACTGAAAAAAGTTTAATCCAGATCATAATGAAATCATACGTGCAGTTTATGAGCTTCCGCCTCACTTTAAAGGATATTTCAAAGACATTACAAAGTGTAATGGACAAGATTTAAAAGAGATGCTTTGGCAAGAAGTTAAACCAAAGCAAAAGAATGTCAACAGCTCTAAAAGGTACCCAAATTATACTTTTGAAATGTATACAGCAAAGAAGAAAATAAATTCATTTAGTATAAAATGACTTTCGAATTACAACAATAAAGAAAAGACCATTTTATACAACAACAATGGAATTATTACATGAATTAACTACGGCCAATAAGAATCGAGCATATCGCATATGTCGTCAGTCTCTTTGTTATTGTTCTTTCTTAGAGATTCAGAGTAATAGCATAGGATTAAGCATTCATAGGATAATTTCGACACTCTTTAAAGAGCATATGGCAAACGCGTTAAACGTCCTGAATATTGTTTTGTATTCAATGGTTCAAAATGATCTATTCACTGTGGCAGTCTCACTTCATTATCAGAGAGAAACAAAATGTATAATTTGAAGATCTTTATGATATGCCTGTCTTTTATCAAAAAGCCCAATTTTTTATTAACAATATCAGCTAGCTTAGTCATCATTTAACTTTAGAGATTTTACTAGAGCTTCTAAGCTCTTGCTTCTAACCTTTATCCATTCTTGATCATGCTCCTGTATGATTGGTTTACCTAGAGCTTTGCCATCTTCGTTTAACCAATTGACAATATCTTTTATATAAACAAGTTCAAGCTCTGAGCCTAAAGCATGAAATTCTCGACCGAGACCTTTCTGACGCGCCCGTTCAAGCCATTCGGCCCTCATTGCGTCCACATTAGGGAGTTTAGCAGCACCAGAATAGACACGGGCAACTGCATAAGATTGAAACTCGAACAGAGAAAATGTTGCGATATGGAAAGGGATGCCAACAAAGCTCAGCGTGGGATTTGGTATGTAAAATATGTCCTTGTGAAGGTTAAATACTTGGACTCCGTTCTTGACCAAGACTCGCTTCTCGTCTATAGAATACCCACGCCTTGAGTTGATTTCCTCATCATCGTGTAAGTCTTCTAAAAAGTGAAAGCTGAACAGATATCCAGTGCAGACAATGATGTAGTCTATGTCAGTTATTTCAGTTCCATCGACTAATTCGACTACGGCAGATTGAACACTATCTTCCAATCTGTCTTGTCTAAAGCGTCGAATCTCTCCAACACGTTGAACGTTTTTTGGGACAAGTTTTGCAACCTCTTCTCTCAGCTTCTGATACCGTTCATCATAGCCGTGTTTGCTCTCCCTTACAGAGTTATATATTTTTTTTGCATGCTTGCGAATATCACGAGCAATGTCAAGAGCAGAAGTTCCGTTGCCAATCAAAAGGACAGTCTGTGATATCACTTGTTTAAATAGGATTTTATGGTCTTTATATCGTACGTACCTTGTCCTTAAAGCTATCAGGTTCTCTGTATTCTTTTGAATGGATCACACTACTTGGCCATTTTTTTCGCCATTCTGATAGACCAGGAAAGTCTGGGACATACTGTGCGTGATAATGACCGGTGGCGACTACAACGGCATCAAATGTCTATATTAAATAAGTAAATATTTTTCCTTTTGTCTTATAGACACATTTTGATGCTCTACCTCTTCTTTCCATACTATTTCAACTTTATTTGACTCTTGATCAAGGTGTGCAGTCTTTGTTAGCACTTTCCAGCCAGACTGGTTCGGGAGTTCTGTCAGTTTCTCGACAGAAGTATTAAATTCAGTTATTTCATCAAGTTTAAAGTGGGCTGAATATAACTGAAGATATTCCAGGATTTTTTCATGTGTTGTAAACCATGGCTTATCATTAAAAAACATTAGATACAAAGGGTAATGCATTCACTAGGTACTCACAGTGCCTTTTGGCCAGTCAAGGTCTTTATATTTAAGCAATGGTGTTGGCACATTGTTCTTTAAAGAGCGATAGCAAGGCGTTGGAGGGTTAAGACGTAACAACTCTTCTTTTATTCCTTGCTCGCTTAACTGCTTCACTTGCTTGAATGGAAGTTTTTCTTGGCCAGGAGGAAGGCTAGGCTTAACTACCTTCGTAGGCACTTCTGATGGAAATTCTGGATTTAACGGCTTCTCTTCATGAAAGATCCTGTAAGCAAAACGTGATGAATGGATGTTCATATAGTATTTTTTTTTTTTGGTAAATTACCATGTTCCACCTGAAGCAGTATTTCTTTCAAATATCTTGACCTGAAGCCCTTCATCCAATAAGAGTTTTGCTGTAGGAAGCTATGATTAAAAGATGAATTATCTTTTATATTAATCATCATATTGTAACTTTACCCCTGCTGGACCAGCTCCTATGACAGCTACTTTTCTAATTTTTTGACCAAATTCGTAACGAGAGCTGACATTTAGTAAACTAGTATTGTTGCATCCGACAATAGCTTTGTTTGGAGATGTCCATTGAACTTGGATTGCAGCGCTTTCGACAGGCATAAGTTGAATATGTATAAAATAAAGAAAAGAAAGGATAATTTATTTATTTATGTTTAGCTTTAGGCCACTGAATTGCATCTGCTTAGAGATGTATTGCATGTTTATGCGTACAACCTTCTTTATTGCATAATCAACAAAACTAATTGCGTATAGCTGTGTAACAAGATATTTCGCGCAGATGGACCATGATGAACAAGGGTTACCTAAGCAAGTATAGCTTGTAAGAAAAGAATTCAGTTGATTACTAATGCTTATCTAAAGTTTTGGGCAAACAAGTAATGCGAATAGATCTAATACTGCTGTTAAATTGCGTTTTTATGATAAGAATATATATAGTCTTTTATTTTTTAGTCCGTCCTACAACGTCCTTGTGATCAAACCGGCTGGATATGATCCTTTTTGAATGAAACTCGGCAATCTCATCCCAGTACTTAATGTACGCATTCCAGAATAGAATGTTGGAAAAATATATTATACATGGCAAGATGTCATGTAATTAACTGTTTGTATTTAAGAATGTGAATGTCTGAGCAGGCTGGAACCATGGGCTAGTATTTCTATAGAGACAACAGCAGTGTAAATAAATACATCACTTTCAAGGATTCCGTATGTTCATAATTTATGGAAAGAATATTATTTTCTTCATTAAAAGCTTTTTTTTATTCGATAAAGAACAATATTCAATACTTAAATAATTCTGACGGTAGCCTCCAAGGGGAAAATTTCTTCTCTTTCTTGATGATAGATTTTATCCCAAGTAGATTCCAATTGAGGAGGAAGCTTCCATGCGTTGTCAGGATGAAGCCAATGACGAAGCAGATGACGCCTGTAGAAACAATTAGCACAATAACCAATCATTTGTTCATTTTGCTTACGTATTCTTTGGACTATCCGTATAACCATCGCGGGCATGGAATATAGACAGATTGTTAATGTATTGAATATCTCCTTTCTTAAAGTCAATTCCAAGATTGTATTTCTCAGCAGTAAAGTGCAGTGCGTCCAATGCTTCGGCCTGTGCTTCTGTGATTGGAGGAATGTCTTCACGTCTGGGGTTCTTGCCGAACCCTGTAAAATTACGACGTGCATATTGGATGATCAGTTTGTTATCAACATAATACAAAAGAGGCCTTAAATAATAGGGTTCCTTTTCCTTGTTTAAATCACTAAAATATAAAAAAGATTAGAGAGGATATGCGTTACTTTTATATGTTTGTTACTTTTGGAAGGGCCAGTCTTGCGCCAAAGTATGGATTAAATCAGGTCGTGTCTTTGCAAGCTCGTTGTAAACTGTCCAACTGGAAGCAATTCGTGATTTTCCACCCTCTTCAGCAACACCAAGAGCATAAAGAGAGATGATATCTCCAGCATCAGTATGATACACTTGATGATCATTTGTATATGCGGGAGCTATTATATCATCAAGTCCTTGCTTGGGAACAAGGTCTGTGATATGTGCTAATTAACAGGATAATCAGTTTAGCATTTGAAAGAAACCTAAATGGACATTTACCAATTGTGTGACGGCCTTGAAGTCCTCGCTTACCAACCCAAGCAGATATACCAGTATAGGCAATAATGTTTTGAGCCCTTGTATAGTTATCAGGATTCAAGCCACGAACGACAACGAAACCTCTACCGTCGAGAACATGCTCTTGAATGATTTGCTTGAGCTTTGGACCAAGGGTTGGAAGAGGAAATGTCTCTTGTTTAATTTCACTAAAGGGCTTTTCAGTAGCTTCAAAATCATGAACAGCTTTGTCAACTTCTTGAAGTTCTTGATCATTTAATTGATAGATCCATTCATATTCTTTTCCTTCATAGTCAGATCCTTTCCAAAGCTTAGGGCCTTCTAGTTGTTCTGGAAATCCTTCAGGTAGATCCGTTTCAAGTTGTTCCTCAGCTAAACGACGAGCAGTACGTGCCTTGTAGTTTTTCAAATCAGGTAAATAAGTAAAATCAGGCTGGGATGAGTTCTTTAGTTGAATGGTAGGCATAGTCTTTTTTTGTGTATATGGGAAAAAAAAAAGGGACAAGTAGATGAAGCCTCTATTTATGTACACTCTTGCATGAACATTGGGTCGAAATGATTAATAATCCTTTGCTTTTGAAAAAGATGACAAGATATACACCATAATTCTCGTAATGCTTTAATGATACAATATCATAATTTCTCAAAAACCATCACTATCACGCAATATAGGACTAGATAACATGATCAATTCAGATAAAACTTTTAATCCTAATGGTAAATAGTGTGTAACCTAACTGATTTCCATTTTTATATGCAAACATAAAGAAATAAAGCAATGTATTATGCGATTATAAAGTAGGTTATGCAATAGCATAACTTTTGATGCAAGAAAGAGCTAATCAGTAGTTGATTTATCTCTTTTATATAAATCAAGATATTACTTACTTTTCTCTCTCTCTTTTTTATATATATTAAGCTTGATGTCGTCAACTTCAACTATTTCAAGCGATGCAATAAATCCATCAAATGAGCATCGTCAACCAAAGCAAATTGAAAACTTATCTCCTCTGGCTGTTGGGGATCAAAAGCTTAGGCGTCATTTAGGATACTTTAGTGGAACTATGATGAATGGTAATTGTTTGCTTTTTTATGATCTTGTTTTAATTCGGAATGACAGTCGGTCAAATCATTGGCACTGGTATCTTTTCAAACCCTGCCTTTATTCTACTTCACGCTGGATCTGGTGGGATGATGCTCATTCTATGGGTTGTTGGTGCACTCTTTGCTGCAACAGGTGTTTGGAATTATCTAGAGCTTGGAACCATGGTAACAAAAGAGTATAGTTTTTATCTTCGCATAACTAATACCCTATAGCTTCCTCGAAGGTGATTATTGGTTACTTTTTAAACCTGCCTTTTGTGTTACTAAAGTTGCATATACTTACAGTGGCGGTGAACAAGAATATTTAGCATACGAATTCCCGAATCCTAGGAAACTAGTTGCATTCGTATTTATCATCTTGGTTGGCGTGTTCGGAAGAGGCTCTGGTTTAGCACAGGTAAATAAGGCCTAGAAATGACAATAAAAGGTTAATGTCCCTTTCATCAGGGCTCTACCGTATTTGGCAACAATATCATCTTTGCCATTGGAGGGCCCAGCTATGTGAACAACTGGGGCGCTCGAGGCTTTGGTGGTAAGATGATAATATAACGACAATAGAGAGAATGTACTGATTGATGTATAGTCTTTTGCTTGACATTCTGGCTTGTGTTGAACATTACTTCTGCCAAACTTGCTATTCGTGCCAATAACTTCTTTACCGTACTCAAGGTTGCCCTCTTGGTTCTTCTTATCTGTGTAGGCTTTGCTGGATTCGCTGGACGACTCCCCAACAGACCAGACTTGGCAGAGAATTTTTCTTTTCATGGTACAAGTAATAATCCAGGCTCCTATGCTACAGCCATATATTATGTTATTTATGCTTATGGAGGATGGTTTAATCTCAATTATGTCTTGGATGAACTAAAGGATCCTATCAAAACCCTTCCAAAATGTGCCATCTCTGCTCTCTCTTTGACAACTGTCTTGTACATTCTTGCGAATATCGGTAAAGCACTGCAGCCAGCAGTATTGCGGAGACTAACCTTTTTATTGAATAGCCTATCTTGCCGTTCTTCCTGCTGCTGTCATCAAAAGCTCAAAGCTAACAGTTGCTGCAAATCTGTTCAACACAGCACTTGGAGGTGTCTTTGGTAGCCGGGTCTTGCCCGTCCTTGTTGGAATGTCATCATTTGGCTTTGTCGGCGTTATCTTTTACTCTGGTTCACGGATTGTATTAGAAGCAGCCCGTACAGGCTTTCTTCCGTTTGACAGATTCTTTAGCAAACTTCATCCAAAGCTACAGACGCCAATCCCTGCCTTAGTGCTACTCTATGTCATAGCCATGATCTTTCTCTTAGCACCACCTCCAGGAACCGTTTTCCAATTTATTGTGGCATTCTCAGGCTATGGCCAGTACTTCTTTGTTGGTCTAAGTGTCATTGGTCTTCTCATCTTACGACGTACACAACCAGACGTTAAGCGTCCTATCAAGGCGCCCTTCGGTAACCAAAGATGAAGAAAGACACTAAGAGTTTTGCTAATTCCCTTTTTCTTTGTCAGTTGTTTCAATTATCTTTATCCTCATGTGCCTTTACACTCTAGTCTTTGTGTTCATCCCACCTGATTCTCCACCCTCAGGATACCCGTACTGGCGTAAGTATATCAATAAGTAAAATAGTTCCCTGTATTTATATTTTACAGTTCCTTATATCGTTACTATCATCCTTGCTTTGTGCTCTGTGGGTCTTTGGTATTACAAGCTCGTATATAAGGATGCGCTCGCAACGTCATATAACGCAGAAATTCAAAAGGACGGCAAACAAGAGCTGTTTGAAGATGTTTATGAGACTTATGGCAGCTTCAAGACAAATTCTAGTGATACCCTTGATAAAGTAGTTGTTCATGAAGTACCTCATAAATCATAAAATGTATACTATTATTACTTATTTTATTTCAAAATAAAAAATCTCTTAATATATTTACAATACTATTGTTTATATAATCGGCAATTGAGGTCGTGTTGCCATGGGTGTTGGCTTTCCTGATAACTTTGCCGTCAACTCATTATTGATCAATTCTTCCATACCGTTTTCTTCCCACTGCTTTTGAACCAACTCTAGCTGATGCTCTAATTTACTGGCGTCCCAGCTTGCAAACTCTAGTTCAAATCGACTCTTACGAACTGCAGCCAAAATCTTGTTTTCTTCATCATGCAACTTTCCTTGTTCAATGTGATATCTTTCAAGCTAAAAAAATCGTAAGAGACACATGTGTTAATATTGTCTTTCTTTACCTCTTTTTCCTGTTCGGGTGCCCACGATATTCTTTGTTTGGGTGGGCCTGATGGTGATGGATGGCCCGATGAGTATCCGCTATAATGTGAACTATGTTGGTAATGATAAGGTGCATTGTGATGCCTGGGCGCAGGGTTTGGTGGATAAGGAGAAGACCCGGATGCATATGGATGTGCTGGGGGTGGTGAGTATCTTGAGCTGGTTGAAGGAATTGAGTGTGTAGAAGTAACTGTCGTAGTGGTGGTAGTGCTGGATTTTGCTGCTGTTACATGAGTCGAGGGTAGACTAGAATTTGCGGCTGAGGCAATAGGGTTATCAGTTGGTGTAGAGATGGATGGAGTTGTCACTATGCCCTTTGGAGAACTAGGTGCAGCAGAAGAAGGCGTTGTATGGGATGATCGTGGAGGAGGACCAGCGATAGAGCTTGACGATGGCTCTCTGCTATGATATGATGGTCTATAGCCAGGTGGTGGAGGCGGTGGGTAGGAAGGTGGTGGCCCTGAATAATGTCTTCGTGAGTGGTAAGGTGGATATCGATAAGAATAGCTGTACGGTGGTGACCCTTGATACGGGCGATGGTCGTATGAGTCTCGTCTCATGCTTCCACTGCGGCTTCCCATGCCTATTGGGGATGGTGAACGTCTAGAGTTGTATGAATAAGATGAGGAAGGATGATAGTATCCATAGGATGGTCTTCGTGGTGATCTTGATGACGATCGGGAAGGTGGTGAGTTGGAAGAGGAATAACGACCAGGATATCCTCTTGATTCTGAGTAGCTATAACGATGATCTTTGGGATAGCTATCTCGACCAGGTGACCGAGATGAAGGATAATGTGGGCTTGGTGAATGACCACGTCCACCAGGGTCTCTATAATCTCTTTCTGAACGGTAATTCTCATTGGGTCTATATGCATCCGACCTTGATCGGTCATAATAACCACGATAACGGTCATCGTATCCACGTGAATATCTATCCATTGATATTTAAAAAAATAAAATAAAAAAAAAGAAAAGAAATAGCCCAAAAATGAACGTCATTTAGCTCATTGATATCATTGGCTGACAAGTGAGACTAGCAAAGCTATATTTTTTAGATGCCCACACTTTTAAAACAATCTTTAACCGTCTCATCCTAGGTCAGACGCTATTCAACAGCCCACTTGCTGTTTTCTTAAACCATATGCCCCCTTCTCCTCGATAAGGCAGTCGTTTTGAGTCTCAAGATATTATGTATTACACTGTAACCATTTTGATCCATTGTTATATTAAGAAACTCATCGAGGCCAATCCAGCATATAGATCGCCAAAGTATTTTAATACACATAGCGGGAAAAAGACACATCACATGGCCAATGCGTTATCCTCTATGCTGTAGATGAACAATGATATTGCTAAACACATTTGATATCCTTGTCGAGATTTTTTTTTTACACAAAGGACTTTTTATTGCTTTGCTTGGATAAAGAAAAAGGAGGCTTGATTTACTATTATATTCATAAAGTCAGTACTGTGTTGACCATCATACTGTCATGATCTCTTACCTGCTTCATAGCGTCCTTCTTACCCTTGCGCTCGAGGATAGCGTTACGGCTCTTGTCCAACTTGAGCTTGGTAACGACAACCTTGGAGGTGTCAATACCAATGGGAACAGTAGCGCCATTGACCTTTTCACGAGTAACACGGTCAATGTGAATAACCCACTTCTTACGGTAGACTTGGACAACCTTGCCTTCACGGCCCTTGTAAGTACCACGAACGACCATGACTTCGTCGTCTTTGCGGACAGGGATAGAGCGAACACCATACTTTTCACGGAGTTCCTTGGACAAAGGTGCACTCATGATCTTACGACGAACATCAGAGGTGGCGGTGAAATGAGCCTTTCTGCTCTTTCTGCGAGAAGAACTGACGTCTACATCAAACAATACATAATCAATTTCCATCCATCCATCTATGCTCTTTATAAACACTATCTATTACCAGCACTGAATTTCATGGTTTTTGTATGGGTGCACGGAAAGAAGGATTCATTGCTTCTTTGGTGATGTGTTCTTCAAAACTTCCCTCCGCCTACTGTGTGTCTGTCTGTCGCTCTCTCAGCAAAGTTCTCTTACTATATAGAGATAATTGGTTCGGCCCGGAATGATTCAGCTCCGTCCCATTTCTTCTTCCTTCTTTTTCTCTTCCCGTGGTCGCGCGATTTGTAAAAAAAAAAGGAAAAAGAACGCGTTCCTTTCACTACAGAGTCTTTTTTTTCGTTTCAATGTCTCTTGTTAATATTTTAGATATCAAGGTCTTAAACAACCCTGCTGCCTTTACGAGTTCTTTTGAATTTGAAATTACATTTGAATGCAATGCTCCACTTGAAGATGGTAAAATAATGTTCAAAATGGAACTCAAACTAACACTTGTTATAGATCTCGAATGGAAGATGATTTACGTAGGTGCACCTGAAACTTCAGAATATGATCAAGTTCTTGAGTCTATCATGGTGGGTCCTATTCCTGTTGGCGTCAACAAGTTCGTCTTTTCTGTAAGGCGTTTTTTATTTTATGAATAATGTAGACTCACTTTTTCATAGGCTGATGCACCCAATGTTGATTTACTGCCAAGAAGCAACTTATTAGAAGTTACAGTTGTCTTACTAAGCTGTCTCTATAAAGAAAAGGAGTTCGTGCGTGTTGGATATTATGTTAATAATGAATATGTCGATGAAGAACTACGCGAAAATCCTCCTGAGGATGTCTTGATTGACAAGTTGCAAAGGAATATTCTGGCTGATAAGCCAAAGGTGACTAGGTAAGTTGTAAAAAAAAAAAAAATATTAAACAGAAAACTCATCAATAATTAGATATACCATCGATTGGTCTTCCCAACAACAACAAATGCCTGCACAAACTGAATCCGTTGATCAGGTTATACACACATATTGAATTCAATAGCAAAATACTGATCTTTATTTTAGGATATGATGGTTCAATAAGCGAGCCTCTTCTTTTTTTTTTCTTTTTCTTTTTATGTACAATACTTTATTATTAAAGATGACTATTCGTGTTTTTTATAAGATATGGGTTGTCTTTGAGTTGATGCTTCATAAAGAGTATGGAGAAAATTAAAGCGTCGAATGTATTTTGTGGTATATTGTATAGTATCAGATAGGTCTTCTTCTTCTTCTTCATCACTTAAATCAATGCATGCAAAACCACTTGATGACTCATACGCCTTTCTGCTGCTCTCTTTCAGTTTAATCTCTGCTACCTTCTCTTCCAGTTGTAAAATGTCATTATCTCTTTCAGAGATTTCCTTCTGAATATCACAGATTTTTCGGTTGACAGAATAATAAGTTAACATACTACGCGTACAGTGTAAATAAAAGATGTCCATAAGAAACAGCCCACTTACTCATCTTCTTGTATTCTACTACGTTTCATTTCTTCTAATACACCAACTTCTAACGCATTCATTGTTCCTTCAATATCCCTGAACTTGGTTTCCAAAGAAGCCAGCGACGTCTTCAACTCTGGGTCCAATTTTCTATTCTTCAATATCTCGTTTGAAGACTCACATTGGCTGTCAGTCAAAAGAGTCTTTATGTCTTCTTTCTTGTCCAAAACTATGTAAACTGTTACTATCACATGAACCATTTGCCATCCTTTTCTTACACTTTGATGATTCTGTAGCCATGGCCTGTATCACTTGTATTAATTTCTCAGCTTCTGGTTGATAATCTTGAGCACTTGTAGTCAAACTATCAATCATTTTACTGAGTACGTCCACATCATTCAAGGTCCAGTTGGTATTTTCATTCTTTAAATCTTCCAATGTCTTCTTACTTCCTTCCGCGTCCTTAAATGTAAGCTTTGATACTTTTTGTTGTTTAGCCTCCAACTTGCAAGAATAAATATCAGCTTCTTATACGTATTGCACTCATAGTGTCTCACCTTTTTGAGATCATGGTTCATTTTTAGATAAATGTCTTCAAATTGAGCTGCCATGCCTTCCTTTCCAGGCTCTGGCTTTACTGCGCTCTTTGATTTGGGATCAATTTGATGGGATGTAGTTGCTTTGTTTATGTTTGACGTCGTCGTCGTCGTTGTTGTTGTTGTTGCTGTTGTTGTTGGTTTTGTTTGTGATGTGTTGGTAGAAGGTTTGGAAGTGTCCTTTGGTAAAAGGGATGAGAACCCCGAGAGATTAAAGGTCTAAAAAGACTAGTATGAGTAAAACAAATTGTTGTCAATCCATATTGGTTTACATTTGACGACTTTTCTGCCTCACTGCTCATTCTAATAAACACTATATGGAAAAGAGAAAGAGAAAGGAATGAAAATTTAAAAATTTAAAAATAACGCGCGCCTGTGCATTGAAAACCGCGTCACAAGATTGAAAAAAAAAAGACATATGAAAAGGGAAAAAGTTATGAGTTTTTTTATTGTTCATAACAATGGGCAAACTTCCGTGCGCTGTTATTATACAGAAATCACGTTCGAAGGGTATGATCTCAGCAAGGTTTTAAAAAAAACCAAGCACCCCTAGTGCCGATTGTGTTCAATTAGAAACCAATCAGTGGAAAATCCCTGTTTGTAAATTAAAAGTAAGCCCATTTTCAAGAAAGAAAAGTTAAGCCTTAGAGGCCAACTTCTCTTCCTTGATTTGTCTGGCAAGAGAAGCACGGGCAGCATAGGCAGCCTTTTGACCAGAGATCAACATGGCTCCAAAGGTAGGGCCCTAGATAAGAGTTATTAAAGTATTCCATAATTTATATGTCAGTCATACCATTCGGGGGGCGCCATCGAGTTCGGCAAGCTCCATTCCCTATAGATAAAACGCGTTTAGTACAAAAAAAAAAAACTTTGTATAATGTTAACTTACGGTCACGACCATTCCAGGAACAACCTCTCTCGTGTACTTGACGATATCATCTTCAGCAGCATTCATGTCAAGTGAGAGCATACCCTTCTTTTGGGCAATTAAACCAATGGATTCTAACCTCTTGACGCCACTTGCACCCATAGGACCGTCATGTCCGGTACCAGAAACGACAATCTTGGCCTCGATGACATTAGGGTCCATACAGGATTGAGTGTCGTGGTTGAGAGAGACAAGAGTCCAGTTGGTGACAACACCGGCAACCTTATTCTTCTTGACGATAAGGTCTTCAACAGCAGTAGCATTGAAAAGCTTGACATTAGGACGCATTAAAAGCTTGGACAAGATGGTAGAAGTGAACAAGGCGGCGTGTTTGACAACGACATAGTCTTCTTTTTCATCATAAGGAATATCAAGTTCATCAAGAAACTTGTCCGCAGGCTTGCGCACAATCATAGCCGAGAACAATTGTCCACCCAGCCAACATCCGCCGCCGGGAGCAACGTTTTGCTCAATAATGGCAATTTTCAAGCTCGGGTCCTTTGAAAGTTCCCAAGCACAAGAAAGACCAGCACTACCACAGCCTACAATGACAACGTCTGATTCAGCATAATGGAGCATATCGTTCATGTAACGAGTCACCATCTCGCGACTGACCTGGGATTCACGAATGGGAGCAAACTTGTAGTTATCAAAGTCTTCGAGCTTCATATCAGGTCTGAATTCATCACCACCCAAGCGGTGACCATTGGTTAAGGTAACAGTAGTAGTTGTAGACATGATTAAAAATGAGAGAAAAAAAGAGAGAGAGAAAAGAAACAAAGATGACAAGAGAGGATGTTTATATAGCACATGCTTTTTTCCCGCAGCTTTTTATTTCAAAACGTTAATGCACAACCATTCTAACGTCGGAACGGAACGTTACCTGAGATGAAAAGAGACCCGAAGATCTTTGTTTGTTTACGCGGTTTATCTAATTAAATGGCGCATTTCTTTGGAAAGTGTAACCATGGATTGACTTTTTATGTCAGTCAATCCATGGATGCTGTTTCTTTATAGTCCGTTGGCTTAATTAAGGACTAGTGTTGATATTATGACTCATAGATTGCAGCCAAAAGTTTGATAAGTCACTATCTGATGTACTTAAGCCCTTGCATAAACGCGTGTTCACGTACATTTTTTTTGTAGGAAAGTTTACGTACATTAATAAAAGGGGATCTCAATTAATTGACTTAATCAATTCTCGAGTAAATACTGATTATGGCTGTGTCAAGCATGGTATTACTTCTCTTAAAGCTCAAAAGTAGTTACAAGTAGTCTTTGATGCAATTTCTAAAACTTATAGTGTGTGACAACCATTGCACTTGCTGTAAGCCAGCTTTATCTAAAGAAAGAAAAAAGATCAGATTCGTTTACCTTTAAATACTACAAGAGATTTAATAAGAACTGTGTAGGGATGCGACACATACACCTGGGTGATTACAGATTGATAAAGAGAAGATATCCATAAACACAGTCACTCTCTTACATCATTACAGGAAATAGCACAGCCGGCTAAAGGTATACGCCACGAAGCATTTACGGAACCCGCAGTCCCTGAGGACCCTCCCATTGAATAATAATCAGTCCCTTTGACCATACTTTTACCTTGACTTTGAGAAATTGACCTTATTGAAATACCTTTCATCTTTCTCTCAGTATAATCTATCTCTCTTTCTCTCTCTCCTTCTCTCTTTTTATCCAAATAACTTACTAAGAATTACTATTGGTAAACACGGATTATCATGTTACAGTGGTTCGAGCGTTACTTGGGCATTTTTTGAAAAAGACAATTGGGCTTTAGAGAAAGATTGATTGCAGGCTTGAGTATAGTTTGACTAAAGAAAGGAAATCAAATCTCACACTTTTTGAAAACAATTTGGTCAAGGAAGTAATCTAGTTTGGTCATGTTTGGATTATCTTGGCCAGACAAAAAATCAGGCAAATGATAGTGAGATATAACAAAGCATCGAGGTAAGCTGCTTGTTTAAGCCGAGAATTTCTACATCACCCAAATTTGTCCACTTTACTTTTGCTCTCTAAGATGGCCTATAGAATTGAGCTCAGGTGAGTAAAAGAGGAACTGTTGTATTTATGCTTATAGTATGTGAAAACAGTGAAGAGTCAACAACTAGCAATCACGGCTTTTATTATAAATATAAGGGAAGAGCTAATAAATGAGGGTATGATCTGAATATATACGAGGGGTGGCGACTACAAATACCTTACATCATCTATTAGTTGAGAATGAATAAATAGAGAATTAAGAGATACGTGATCTGTATAAACACGACAAGCAGGTCGACTGAGCAGTTGCATGACACCTTTATACGAATGGAAGTTACCAACAAAACTGTTTCAGCTAACTCAACGAAAATGGGGCCAATGTAGCATCAACACCTTTACGGCCCGCTACAACAACCAATTGAAGCTTATACCAAACTCAGCAGTAATAGTGGTGGACGCATTTAAGCAACATTTGCCAAGTATGGTTCTCTATCTTCACGCTCCTTGGAAATTGATTCCAAAGGTGCTTCACGTTATTTAATTGTTTAAATGACACAAGACAAAGACAAAAGAAGTACTCGTTATTAATCTTTATTTTAAGATAAAGACAGAAGGAACATACAAATGAATTAATGATTTATTAATTTATAGTTATTATCAAATGACTGAAAAACCATTATTCTAAACGTGAATTATAATTACTAACAGTTCCTGAGTTCATAAAGAAAACTTTTAACTCGCTCCTGGCACTGATCCTGTTGTTCATTTCATGATCTGGGCTATGATGCTACTTTTACCGTGAGAAGAATTATCTTTTAAAGAAGTAATGATTTATATTCGAAGAAAAGATTCTATTTAATTTGACTTATTATTGAAAGTGTGTACACATGATTCTATAATATATGAATTTGCTCCATCCATACTGATTCCAGTCGTCCACTATAAGCAGACATTGTGCTACGACAGTCCGCATGTTCAAACTCCAGAAAGTTCAGGAAATTATACGTGTGGCGCTATATTGGAAGACATAATTTTGGTGCCTAATGATTCTAGCACTGACGAAAAAGCCTCCCTTGATCATGCCGATCAGCAAGAAATGGAGCCTGGCCGCCTGGAAATTATCAAAGCTTTCAATACGCGAAACGGTATAGATGAATTAACGAACAGCTTTTTACATCAGCCTCATCATAAGAGGACCAACCGGCTATGGCGCTCATGCATTACGGTCTGTAAGTAGTACCAAAACCATTACACCAGCGAGTGGATAGTACCACCATCAATGAGTCAAATTTCTCTACAATTACGGAGGATAGTACCACATCTGGAGTCCGACTTGAGCCAACTCTAGCATAGTCAAGCTTGACTTTTAAATTTGTAAAAGCATGTATAGCAACATGTGAAAATAAAAAGTATAAATAACAATAAAAGAAAACCACTTTCTTTCTTTCTTATTAATCTAGAGGCGTGCCTGTCTAAATGAAGTTTTTGTGGACTGCTTTGACATTTTGTCTGTTGATTTGCCTTGTCAGTGCATATGACTGTGAGTGGAAATCATGTTTTGGTGCAAGCGATCATGATACACTGCAATGTTGTGGTACGAGCAGCCCTGGTAGATGGTCAAGTGCTGGAGATTGTGAAGTTATGAGAGGTTATGGCAAAATATTTGATGACTGCTGTTGGCAGAAGTATAGAAGTCCTACAATAACATCAAATGGTTATCATAAATGCAAGCATGCTCATAGAATTTAACCTATATTAAAATATTGTACGAGTTATTTTTTAAAAATAAAACTTTTCTTTTTTTTTGGCTTCTCGTCTAATCAAACTTGTTAAAACATTGTTACTTTTGGTGTTGATTCACAGTGATTGTCTTTGGTTGTCTGATCATTGCTTTGTCTGTAAATACTGAAAGATACCGAGCCTTTGGTGCAACTGTCGAGGCAAACAATTAAAGTCATTAAACTGGTTTTGTCTTCTTATTGATGCCTTCATATTCTTCATGTTCACATCAGACATGTCTTGTTTTATTTTTAAAAAAGGTTTTTGATCTTTCTAATGCTGAGCTTGTTACACTACATTTTCTGAAGGGCAATTCTAGAGGATCGTTGTTTACACAGCATTTATGTAGCATTTGTACAACATGCCAGGTAAGCAATTCACTGTGCACAGCATTTACACAACATTTACACAGCATTAGACACGCCACACCTACTCAGCACTATTTATAACGCCCTTTCATACACTATATCTGTCGTATTTTCCCTATAAATACTTAATATTATCATATGAGATTATTCTAAATATACTTAAGAAAGAAAATACAAAAAGACTAACTACAAAACACGTTATTCCTCACATAACACGACATGCTTAATTCTTATTGGCCATAATTAAATCTGTTCCTGAATATCTGTGTGCCTAATGCAAAAGTGCTGTGCAAATTGGATTGCTTCCTCACATGTTGTACCAGTGCTGTGTAAATAGCAAAACTCTGATGTTACAGGCGTTGTCTCTAAATGTTACCTGCGATATCACTTTACAGCTTCACACGACCTTTCTGCATTACCAAAAATCGCTGCATGAGGCTATCCAGGGTGTATCCAGTGGAGTATCCTTTGATGTAAAATACGAATTTATAAAGTTTTATCATAATTACACATAAGCTAAATGATCTTGATTGTTGTATTTACTCTTTCCTTTGTTGATCGAAACTGTATAACGTAAAATTAAAATACAGAAATTAAAATATTTTTATCTTTATCTTCTTTAGTGAAAGAAACAGAGAGAAATGAAGAGCGGGGAGAAACAATCGAGGTCAACACTTCATAAATCCTTATTCTATATCAAAGAATATGGATAAATATTTTGGTCTTTGAGCAAGTTTAGCGTCGCGATATACATGGAAAACTTTCGTTGGATGGCATCACGGTTAGCGCCTGTAACATTACCCTTTTGAAACTACATTTGAGTCTATTTTTGAATGTATTTTCGTGTGTACCAAGCGTTTACCAATAAATAAATGTACAAAGATAGACAAGAGTTTACTCGTGTCGGAAATAAATGGCAAAGTTGCCAAAAAGACGACAGAGGATGTAGTTATAGACTTTCTAACCGTACCTTACTCTCAGATGAGCAATATATTCTAATTTATACTTTTTACATCTCTCTATGCGTGCGCCTTGTATGAAGAAGCGTTGATAGCTTGGATGGGAGATAAAAAAAACTTTTCCATACTAGGGCTTGGCGGCCATCACGTTCTCTGTCGGATTAGAGGCATTATTGCTATTGTGGGCCGTACATACCACAATTTCCGTTGCCTCGGATGTGGCTATCTCCTTGATAACGCTTCTCTGGTTCGTAATAGTAGCCCGCGAAGATTGAGTTGTTTAAACTCCAGCTAGAATGTAATTTGATGTTATCAATAGGAGCATCAGCCATAGCCGATTTGGTGCTTGATGCAGAGCGAAGAGAATGCGACTTGAGTCGTGCTGTGTCGACTCCAGTCGTCTCCATGGTTTCTTCCAGTCATATCCTAACCATTTTGGGTCTAATTGTTCTTGCTCTGTACTTGTCATGTGCGATGTGAGACAAAAAGAGTGTGTGATTGTCTTTCAAATCGTGGCGTATGTGGGAAGATTGCCGAATGAAAACATACAGGGTTTGTGTAGGACAGAGGTCCTTGTCCACCGTTATACCTGTATAACTTGCTTTTGGTTTGATCTATTTTGATTGACGTGCAATCAGGGTGGCACCGATTATCTTCCCCGAATTCTATCAAAGTAATATCTCCATGTTAAAGGTTCCCTAGGTCAGAACTTGACCTCCATATGATGACGATTATTAGGGGCACCAGTGTCTCTTTTGCAGTCGGTCTAATGTCAATTGATATGTAGCGCGCCCAATTGCTCACGAAACTCAAGATCGAGCCGACATTGAAGAATTCCGGGTATCGGCTCGGTAGCTTGTTGATTGTTTGTCTTCTAGCCTTGAAAAAATGATGTGCCACGACGTGGTTATTCTTGCTTAACTTGTGAGAATGAACGGTTCTGTAAAATGAGGCAGTCGTAGAACGAATCACGTCCAAGTACTGTAATGACAGTGAACTCAGTGGCGCAAGGTTTTCCACTACCAACTATGGATCATACTGGAGGAGGCCCTTCTTCAAGTTTCTGGAGAGCCGCTATACAACCCAGTTATTCCAATGTCTATTATAATGTTCAGAGGTTGATTTCCGAGCAGATGGCGTCAAGTATTGCAATGTAGACTGGCTCAATTTTTCTCTTTCTTGTCAATGCTTGATAACCTCCAAGCGGTTACTGGGAAATCCTTCTTTAAGTCAAAAACCAGGGGCTCCTTATTGTGACAGTTCAACGCCATTGGCCACCAATATTGTGCTATACATGTTGGAGTCACCATTATACAACCCTGTACTTGATCTTAATGGAGCTTCCTCAACGCCTGCAGCATTAATTTTCAAGGTGCATCTAGGAAGAAGCCACTCGTGAGCCACACTTGCTAGAAAGCATCCGTTCTTTCTTCCCTAGGATCGTTCTTCCATGAACAATACCTCTTCGACTTGTTGATGGTGTTGTCGGCAACGCATCTACCCTTAGACTGACGTTCTACTCTTGTGTAATTCGTTTGACAGTCCACTGTGGCAGGCTCTAAACGTGGGCTAGCTGAGACATTTAGTTCAGCGTATCAGCCTCTGTATTCAGAACTTCTAAAATGTGTTGGTCAATTACTGTCAGCTCGTGTTGAGTACATATGTTTTGAATCCCCAATGAGCTCAATGATTTATGCTTTTGTAAGGCTATAATCTGAAACTCGTGTAGCACGATGCGCGACTTAGAAAGATGTAAAGAGTATATTTTTATTGTTCTTCTGAGAATAAAACGTCGCTAGAAAATCTATAACTATATCTGAGATCGGATTGGAGGCAATGGCAATTGTAGTAGGTACGGCCCATAACTTTTAGGTTTGAATTTTGAGAGTCCTTGTATTTGGCCAAAAATGCGCAGCAACTATATCTATAAGTTTATCTAGAAAATAAAAGGTAGCTGCACCCACATAATAAAGATTACCGCTTGAATTCTGAACGATAACCATGGATTGTGAGCCTAACCCTATAATCTCTATTAGACCATAATCTACTTGTAACGTCCATAAGTGTTAAATTGCCAATGTTTAGCCTTAAAACGAAGATTTAAAATGATCACTGGATCATCATGTGTCATGTTAGGTATATATCTTTAAAATGATCAACTCCTATAGTAGAGAAAAAAAAATAAAAAAGAAAAAGCTTTTTTATACTTTTGGACAACGTTTTGGTTCCACTTCGACTTCCAATATGATGCATGTTCTCTGAGCCACGCTTTATTTCCCATACGCATATAAACAAAAGTGCTTTTTTCCTTAATATCTTTCTAAGCAGCGCATCACGGATTACACTATGTGACTGATATGCCAAATGCTACGCCTGAGCAAGAGGAAACAAAATTCTACATACAAAGAGAGCTATTTCAACTCTTCCAACAATTGCAGAAGGAATCTAAGAGCGAAAAACAACGATTTTATAAGGAAACCAAATCACCTAACGATTTAAGAGAAATTCTGGAGGAACCATTATTCCAACAACTTAAAGAGAACCTTAAAAAATAAAAAAACATGTCCATAAGCACTGTCGTGAAGAATGGGTAACAGGAGAAAGCTTCAACAAATCCCTTTATCTAAAAATACAAACAACATAACATGGATACGTACCACTATCTATTGGGTTACAGATAATACAAGAATTCAGCAAGAGCAACAACAGACCACGCAACACTTCATTATCATATAACACGTCATGTTCAGTTCTTATTGGTCATAAATAATACTGTTTGCATATAAAATGACAATTGTAAGGCTTCTTTCCACTAACATAATGTTACACGGACAGACAACCAATCAAAACTCGCCATCACCGTCTTCGACAAGATATGAACCGCCTGCATCCACCAGGCCAACATCAGCTGAAATTTGGAGAACATTCACAGCCCACGCAAGAGGTTTCCGTGGAGCTAACCTTACAGTATTTGAGAATACAGAAGCAAAAGCGGCTGTTCGAGATCGTAATCAGGACCAACTCTGGGTACAATCTAACGAAATGAACAGTGTAGTCTTCGACCTGAAACAACTTTCCGTTCTGCCTGCAGAGTTCTACGAAGCTCTCGCCAATCAATATCCTTCCGCTATTGGGGCAGTACCAGTGCGTCAGGGAGCCATTAATGGGGTCATCATTGCTTTTGATTCCGCAGAATCTCGCACAACCGCCTGCAGTGTTGGTATAACAGTTGGAGGTTTCAACGTAATCGGTACACCTACGTTACCTCCTACTAGCTCCATTTACCGAGTTTCGCTTGAAAAGCTACCTTTGATGAGACCAGACAGTTTAACCCCACTTCTGACTGAGGCACTCTCTCGCTACGGTACAGTCCTTCATGTTGGTTTATATCGTGATCCTGTTAGTCGTCTTTTCTTTGGTAAAGGCTATGCCCTTATCGATACCGCACCTGAGGATCGCACAGTCCTCCCTCTCAGTCACGAAATTGATTTAACGAACCAACGACTTATCTATGCTTCGTGGAGAGGAATGACACCTCATTGTTTTTACTGTCATAAGCCTGGCCACACAAAAGGCAACTGTCCTCGTCTATCCCAGCAACGTATTAAGACTTGTTACAACTGTGGGGATCCAGGCCATTTGATTCGAGAGTGTCCTAAACGTAACACTGCCACGGTGGGCGAGAAACGTATCCGCTACGATAATTCTTTGCCTGACATACCTACGTCGTCTTCATCATTGAATTTAGGCTCTTCATCCACTCAGAGCTCTTCAGCACCAACTTCTATTGTATCTGCTGTATCTAAGTTTGTACACCAATCTGACATTGAGTCTTCTAAGATGACAGCCAGCACCCAGAAAAACGTTGCACGAACTAGGTCAAAGGCATCTACCAC